AGTTCAGAGAACCCCCAAATCCCACTCCTGGCTGGCCCCACCCCTCCCAGGAGTCCCCATGTGGCCCGTTTTGGATGCAGGTAAGTGCAGGGTGCTCATGGAGGCACAGGGAAGGTGAAAAACGGGCCCGTTTCCGGCCACCAGAGGGCCTCCGGAGCCTGGGGAGGCCGTTTTTGCCCTCCTGGAGGCTCGAGGAAAGCCTCCGGAGTCTGGGGAGGGCAAAAACACCCCCTCTCCTGCCGTGGTGCAGAAGGCAGACTAGGCCATGCCCACCATGGCCACGCCCACCCAGCAACCGGGCAGAGAACCCCTTGCTAAAAGTTTTGAAGACCACCCCTGCTGCAAGCAATGGAGAACCCGGCAACGTTAAAGGAGAAGCTTGTCAAAATCCCCACTTCTTCAAACCCCAAAGCAGCCTTTGGGGAAAAAAGAAAAAGCAGAAACTCACCTGCCCACTTTCTCTGCCCTCCCAATACAGGTAGTCCTAAGAGTCTCTGGGCCTTAGCGATTTTGAGATGCGTGGCTAAGGGAATTCTGGGAGTTGGAAGTCCACGTATCTTTGAAAGTTGCTGAGGTTGAGAAACGCTGCTTTAGGAAAAAAAAGAAATTAGGAGGTTAATGGACCCCGAAAGGAGCTTGTGTTTGCTGTTTTAGATCGGCTGAAAATACATTTAAGGGGAGATTTAATCTGATCGTGCCACCTTCTGCGGAGGTTCCGAGAGAAAAGCCGAAAAATGATGCACCAAAAAAAATCATGCACGGATTATATATGCTAGAGTTTGGAAGGGGGCACAGTGGTAGTTCTCAATTTACGGCAGTTCATTTAGTGACCATTCAAAGTTACGATGCTACTGGAAAAAGTGACTTATGACCGTTGTTCACACTTAATGACATTGGTAAGAAGCATGGTTTTCTTTTTGGTACTTTCTTAATTTGGTTTTCTACCTGATTGTTTGTCTGGTGTTAATCCCCGCTTATCTGGGTACCAGTTGCTGGATATTTGTTTTGGTAACTGTCTCATGTTTATGTGCCAAAGTCATGTGATCCCCTTTTGTGACCACCTGATGAGCAAAATCAATGGGGAAGCCAGATTCATTTAACGGCCGTGTTACTAAAGGCACAACTGCAGTGACGTACCACTGGCCGAGATGGCAGGAGGTGGCTTTTGTGCCCATGTTCCCCGTTGGCCCTCCAAGAGTGATGCAAGCCAGAGGGCATCTTTCTAATAAGCCGAATCCTTGTAATCTGATGGATCTCTCATCCCCCTGCCTGGCCTGGGTCCAGAGAGGCTCTTGATGGCGAATGCATATCTAAACCCTTTGGGAGCGTTTGCAAAGCTGCTCCGATCCTTTCAGAAAAACACGATTACCTTCTTCCGACTCTTAATTAAACGGGTTACGCCACAACTGCTGCCATATATAAATATGTGCATTTGCTGTGAAGATGCTAATCGAGAGGAAAGGAAGGAGAAAAAGAGGCTTAATTAAGCAGCTCGGGCATCCCCGGCCCTCTCCTCCGTCCTCTGCTCTGGTTTTACGAGCCGCCACTTGTTCGGGCGTCTTATTAAAGTCACGGCCGGACAAATTAATGCTCTGTTTCCGAGAATGTTGCTCTTGGCTCCAGTGACGGGGATCAGAAACAATGGTCACTAATTGTGCGAATAGGCCACACCCACTATGGCCACGTCCACCCAGCAACCGGGCAGAGAAAGTCAAATTTCTGAATCCCACCCTTGCTTTTAAGTTATAGCATCATATAAATTTTAGTCTTTTTAACCAGGTCTTCCCCTTTTGGTGCATCTGTGCATTATAGCCCACATCTTGGCTGGTTTTATTACGTGCTCTTTCAGTTGTTCCTCCATTTCAAATTTCAGTAAAAAGATACGTATTTTAGCAGCCCCACGCTCTTATTTTCTCTTATCCCTTGGAAACCAAGAGGGCTTGCGGAGGCTTCAAAATAGTATTTCTGTTGTGACCCAGGCCCAAGTAGGTAGCAGTCGACGCAAACAGTTCCAAAACAAACAGACTTTAATAGAACAGCTGAGAATTAACTCATTCTCAGCGTACTCCAAACTAAATTAAAAAATTTCCTTCATAACACAAATTCTTCAGTCTAATCACCAACCTTGGTATAATTAGGCAAACTGCCAAAGGTTTCTCTTGGCAAAAGTTCAGAAGCAGAAGACGCCAACAAGAGATAAGTGCAGCAAGACAAGAACGAGTCTATCAACGTTGTTTTCCGACAAAGAGCCCAAGAGCCATTGCTATTCTTTTAAGCCTTATGGGAGGGGCCAATCATTTCCTGGCCTTACTCCTGAGTCGTCCTTTTTGCTGTAGCTGCTCTTGCCTTCTGGCAGCTCTTCTCATATGTGCACTAGGAACAGGCTCCTCCTGTTCCTCTGCCTCTCTGCTGTCAGCCTCTGGACGCTCCGCAGTCCGTACATCACTCCCCGATGGCCCCGGCCCCATCTCTGCCTCTGACGCAGAGCCCTCATCCGAGCCTTCCCCAGCCTCCAGGACTGGCCCATGTTCTTCCTCAGCCTCATCGCTGTCTGACTCTCTGCCAGCTCCGCAGGCTGCTGGCGGACCACAACAATTTCAAAACTTTGGGGCGTTTAAAATGTGTGGACTTCAACTCCAGCAATGCTGGTGGGGGGAATTCTGAGAATTGAAATCAACATATCTTAAATTTGCATAAGTTGAAAAACACGGCTCTAAAAAAAGCGTGCAACAAAACTGAGGTGGAAACACTGCTTTTATCGCGTCTTGCACGCTGCTGGGCCCTGATTCTACCTTTCTCTTTTTAAAATTACCACTCGTGTTTTTCCCTTTTGAAAGAGGAGAAAGCAGGACCCTTGAAAGCAACTGTGTCGCATGATTACATCCAGTGGTGGGATTCAAGTAATTTAACAAACCGGTTCTCTGCCCTAATGATTTCTTCCAACAACCAGTTTGCCAAACTGCTCAGAAAGTTAACAACCGGTTCTCCCGAAGTGGTGCGAACCGGCTGAATCCCATCACTGATTACATCCCTCCGAGAATAACAAATGGCGCCTTTTTATTTTCTTTCCTTTTCTTTTGGGCCGGTTTCGTCAGAAAACACATTTTCTCTCTTTCCTTAATCAGTATTCTCCAGGCGTGATGCACCTTCCCGAAAGAGGCCAATCCAGTGAACAACCTGGCAGATTTAAATCTGCACTAAAAGCCCCGGGGAAATTAAGAAGACAAAACATTAACCACAGACTAAACATTAACATATATTAGCATTTTGATTACACCTGTAGACAGGGGAAATGGGCCCGGCTAATACTATTAAAAAGTTTGTGTCCTATATACCCCTCCAGCCTTTCGGCTTCAGAAATCTTCAGATTTGAAGATTTCCTTGGGTTAAAAAAAAAAAAAGGAATAAAAGTAGAATTCCGTTAGGGGAATCTATAGCAGTCCGTAGGTAGTTCTTGACTTACGACAGTTCGTTTAGTGAACATTTGAAGTTACGACGGCACTGAAAAAAGCACCTTATGAACCATTTTTCACGCTTAACGACCATTGGGGCATCCCCATGGCTACGTAATCAAAAGACTTAGACTAGAAGACTTCCGATGTCCCTTCCAACTCTAGAATTCTTGCTGGAAGCGTTGGCATTTGGAACAGGGAAGGTGTCGGTGGGGCATCAAGTGAGTTTCTCCACAACCAGGTTTTTGCCTGTGGCACTGCAGGGTGTTAGTGTGTGTGTGTGTATGTGGGGAGGGGGAATGCAGAAAAAGAAAGAGAGGGAATGTACTCCCCCCTTCCCCCAAAAGGCTGAAACTCATGGGAGGAACGGAGCAGCTGTATGTGCCAGGTGCCGGAGCTGGCTAGCAAGATCTCAACCCATAATTAAAGCGGAGATTGTGAAACGCAACAGCTATGCCAGCTATTTCATGGAGTCAGAAACAAGTGTGTGTATTCTGGAATTTATTTGCTGTAAAACACAATTGGGGGGGTATTTGGTGGGGGGTGGTCACAAGACGTGATGGCCTCTTTTAACAGAGGAGAAAGAGAAGCTACAGGGTAGCAGAAGAGACATAACATTTCCTGTATGTGCAGTGGGCGTGCTTAAATCTGTAATTTCTTCCCAAACCAGGAATCGGGGTTTGCGATTTTCCCTCCTGCACAATGAACCCTAGTTGGCTTGTTGCTGCACTTAGAGCCTCGTACTTGGTGTCAGCTGGAAGCTGTGACTGACCGTTGAATTCACGTAGAGAGCGGTGGTTTTTCAAAGTTGGCCATTTTTAAGATGGGTGGACTTCAACTCCCAGAATTCCCCAGCCAGCCTCGCTAGAGTATTTTATTTATTTTTAAAATTTGCTCGCCGTCCATCTCACTGCAAGGCGGGTACAGACGGATGCAAAGCTCCATATTTGCACATCGAAGACAGACCAACTCTTTTAATCGCCCCAAAGCAGGGGTGAAATCCATCAGGTTCTGACAGGTTCTGGAAAACTGGTAGTGGAAATTTTGAGCAGTTCGGAGAACCGGCAAATACCTCCTCTGGCTGGCCCCAGAGTGGGGTGGGAATGGGGATTTTGCAGTATCCTTCCCCCAGGAGTGGGGAGGGAATGGGGATTTTGCAATATCCTTCCCCCAGGAGTGGGAAGGGAATGAGGATTTTGCAGTATCCTTTCCCTGGAGTTGGATGGGAATGGGGATTTTGCAGTATCCTTCCCCCAGGAGTGGAATAGGGATTTTGCAATATCCTTCCTCCAGAGTGGGGTGGGGATGGAGATTTTGCAATATCCTTCCCCTGCCACGCCCACCAAGCCACGCCCATAGAACCAGTAGTAAAAAAAATTGGATTTCACCACTGCCCCAAAGCGATTGGCAGTCTCTAAATTGAGCAGTCAATCTGACTTCAAATTAACTACAAACCTGATTCATTTTGCATTTCAAACAGGTCTGAAATGATCAGGCCTTGAAAAGTTTTGGGATTCCTGATTTTAGGGGTTTTTTTTCCTCTTGCAGATCAGCAAGCTGTGTGGCCCTTCCCAGCAGAGGCAACACCGATCAGCCTGGAATCCCGAAGACCATGTTGCTGACCAGAGGATGATGGGTGCCACTCTGGTGGAACCCCAAGAAACCTTATCCGGTCGAAAGAGGTGGGTTCACAGTTTTGGACTTGGTGGTGACCACAAGCCACACAGGTAGTTCTCAACTTAACAACCGTTCATTTCGCGACTGGTCAGAGTCACAGCGACACTGATTTACAACCGGTCCTCACAGTTACAACTGTCGCCGCAACCTGATCAGAGTTTGTGGGCATGTAGGCCGTTTGCAAAATCTCAGGGGTCCCATGATGACCAATAGGGACTTTCTCAGTCAGCTTCTGATAAGGAAAGTCAGGGGGGGGCTGGATTCTTTTAATGACCGGAGTGATTCGCTTAACAACACTGGCAAAAAAAAAGTCATAAAGCCCGGCACAACTCACTTAACAAGTGTCTTGCTTGGCAATGGAAATTCTGCTCCCAATGGTTGTCTTAAATCGAGGACTCCCTGCATCTGATTTTTATGCATGCGTCCTTCACAAGAGACCAGATGGTCAATGGGACGTTGATGGTTGATGCCCTGAATGCTCGGTGGCCTGGCTGAGCAGGTCATCTTGATCCAAAATCATCTGAAAATAAATCTTCTTCTCCTTCTCCTTCTCCTTCTTCTCCTCCTCCTCCTCCGTTCTTATAGTTTCTTCCATTTATTTTGGGCTCCGTATTACCATTCTTTTCATCCCAAGCTGCTGCTGCTGCTGCTGCTTCTTCTCCTTCTCCTTCTCCTTCTCCTTCTCCTTTTCCTTCTCCTTCTCCTTCTCCTTCTCCTTCTCTTCTCCTTCTCTTCTCCTTCTCCTTCTCTTCTCCTTCTCCTTCTCCTTCTCCTCCTTCTCCTTTTCCTTCTCCTTCTCCTTCTCCTTCTCCTTCTCCTTCTTCTTCTTCTTCTGCTTCTGCTTCTGCTTCTCCTTCTCCTTCTCTTCTCCTTCTCCTCCTTCTCCTTCTCCTTCTCCTTCTCCTTCTCTTCTCCTTCTCTTCTCCTTCTCCTTCTCCTTCTCTTCTCCTTCTCCTTCTCTTCTCCTTCTCCTTCTCTTCTCCTTCTCCTTCTCTTCTCCTTCTCTTCTCCTTCTCCTTCTCCTTCTCCTTCTCTTCTCCTTCTCCTTCTCCTTCTCCTTCTCCTTCTCCTTCTCCTTCTCTTCTCCTTCTCCTTCTCCTTCTCCTTCTCCTTCTCTTTCTCCTTCTTCTTCTTCTGCTTCTGCTTCTGCTTCTGCTTCTGCTTCCTGACCAGGGCTGGGCTTCAAAAATTTTAGCAAAGAGTTCTCTGCCCAGTTGCTGGCTGGGCGTGGCCCTGGTAGGCGTGGCCTAGTTGGCCTCCTGCACCATGATGGTGGGGGGGGAGGCATTTTGTCCTCCCCGGGCTACGGAGGCTTTTCTTGAGCCTCCAGGAGGGTAAAAACAGTCTCCCCAGGCTCCGGAGGCCCTCTGGAGGCCGGAAACGGGCCCAAACTTCCAATAGGTCCATTTTTCACCCTCCCCGAGCCTCCACACGTGCCCTGCACTTACCTGCATTGAACGGGCCGCGTGGGGACGCCTGGGAGGGGGCAGGGTAGGCTGGGTGGGGCCAGCCGGGAGTGGGATTTGGGGGTTCTCCGAACTGCACAGAATCTTAGCTAGAGGTTCTCCCGAACCCCCAGCAGCCCACCCCTGATCCTGACTGTGATGAAGAGGGTTTTCCGTGTCACCTTGTTTGTTGCTAAGCCAGAAGCAGACAGACGTGCCAAAGTACCCATTGTGCAGCCTTGGTGTGTAATTAAAGCAGCGTTTTGTGGTCTTCCAGCTCAGAACAAATATAGCAGGAAAGGTTATATATAACCTGGCATTTAAATGGTCAGAGAATGTGATCATTAGTGTCAGAAGTTCTTGGGGGAAACAAAGCTGCAATTTTCAGCTCACAAACCCACTCCGAGATTTTCTCCTATCCTCACCCACAGTTCTCTCTCTCTCCCCACCCCTCCAGGCCTCTGTGGGTTAGAAGATGCTTATTTCAACTCGTTTTGGGGTTTTTTTTGGGGGGGGGGAAAGGTCCTGACTAATAGCAGAGTAGCGGATTCTGTGATTTGATTGATGATGTGGGATGCATCTTCCCAGCCCATCTGTGTGTTTTAAGTGGCAGTTTGAAAGAGACCGAGAGCAAGTTGATTCCAGCTCATCTCGGTCTGAGGGAGGGGCATTCAGAAGAGTTCCATCTGGTTACGCTGCTAGGATTTTTAAAAAAAATAAAATAAAATAAAACCCAACCCCAACAGAAATTCTGCTGGAAAATAGGATTGCACGTTATCAGAAACTACACATTTGAGTTGTAGTTTTCCGCAGCAAAGGGGGGTCCAGATTTGAAATAGCAGAAACACCCCCCCCACACACACACACCCTCGGGGCATTGGAGTGACTTGTCTTGAAGATAAAACTTGAAAGGTATCCAACCTTGGCAACTTTTAAGACTTGTGGACTTCACAACTGCCAGAATTTCCCAGCCGCCCCCAAGGTTGTAAAATCAGACACGGTTCAGGTGGTGACTTGCTTACTGACCACAAGAAGTTACGACCGTAATTCTGGGCTCAATTACAGCCAGTTAAGTGAGGGAAACCTATACGATGACAAAGAGAAACCTGCACAGTTTATGGAAATAAGGAGAGAGAAAACGAAAAAGGAAAAAAGAATGGCAAAGGCTTATGGTTATTTTTCCCGGTTCTTGTATGATGCACAACTAATTTGTGTAATAGTTTATGTCACAGGGGAAAGGATTTACTACCTGCTGGAATAAACAAGCAGCAGAGACAGAAGGGGAGGCTAACAAGGACTGTTTTACCTGTTGGGCCCAAGTGACCTCAGCTCAACCCAACTCATAGTGAAGAGAAGGACCAGGGGAGACAGGATAGCCATCTTCCAATACTTAAGGGGCTGCCACAGAGAGGAGGGGGTCAAGCTATTCTCCAAAGCACCTGAAGGCCAGATAAGGAATAATGGATGGAAACTAATCAAGGAGAGATTCAACCTGGAAATAAGGAGGAATTGTCTGACAGGGAGAACAATCAACCCATGGAACAGAAGTTGCCTTCGGAAGTTGTGGGAGCTTCTTCACTGGAGGCTTTCAAGAAGAGACTGGACTGCCATCTGTCAGAAATGGTGTAGAGTCTCCTGCTTGAGCGGGGGGTTGGACTAGATGACCTACAAGGTCCCTTCCAACTCTGTCAATCTATCTATCCTGTGGATGAAGAAAGGAATAGAGCGTGTATTTGTGCACGCGTGTGTTTGCACATATCATTTCTATGCATGCAAAAAAAATATATCTTTAAAACGGTCCTTGCAGGTCTTAAACAGAATGAGTGAAGTTGCCTTGCTGGAGTATTTCTTTGCATCCTAAAGACATCCCGACTTCGAGGCGCAGTGTTGGTTTCACGTTTCTGGGAAAAGTCGCTGTCCTTATTCGGCCCCTCATTTGCATGCTGGCTTGATTAGATCCCGGTTAGTTGCTGGCTTCGTCCAGAGCACCCCCTCCTGGCTGCCGACGTGCACAGGAGAGAGATGCATTTGCAATGGCAGGGAGCCCGCTGCGGCTGCTTCCCACGAGGCCAAGACCTTGTTTTATTTATTTCTGAGATTTATGGGTTGCCCGATAGCTAATAGTTGTCAGGAGGTTGTGCTACATAAGCATAAAAACCGGGTCTCCCAGGAATAGAATGCAACTGAAGCTATCAGGTTGGTTTTTCTCCTTCTGTTAAAACGCAGCACAAGCTGAAGGTCTGAAAAACAACACACACAAACACACACACACACACACACACACACACACACACACACACACAATCAGAAGTGGGTTTCAGCAGGTTCTGACCAATTCTGGAGAACCGGTAGCGGAAATTTTGAGTAGTTTGGAGAACCGGTAGTAAAAATTCTGACTGGCCCCACCCCTATCTATTCTCTGCCTCCCGAGTCCCAGCTGATCAGGAGGAAATGGGGATTTTGCAGTATCCTTCCCCTGGAGTAGGGTGGGAATGAAGATTTTAGAGTATCCTTCCCCTGCCCTGCCCAACAAGCCACGCCCACCAAGCCATACCCAGATAACTGGTAGTAAAATTTTTTGAAACCCACCACTGCACACAATGTTATCGCTGTGAAAATGAGAAATGGAGCTGAGTTGCCGAAATGTAAGAGGGCAGAGGTCACTAAAGGGAAGATAAAAAAAAAATGTTTTATTGGGTGGGCGATTCTACAATTTAGCTTGTGGAAGTTAACCATCTTGGGTGGGAATAAGCAGGATAGGATGCCTGCTTTCTTCCACTCTTTTGTGTACAGCAGTCCTTGACTTACAACCATTCGCTTAGTGGGTGTTTCAAGTTACGGTGGCCCTGAAAAAAGGGACTTAGAACCAGTCATAAGGTACTTAATGGCCATTGTACTACCCCCAGAGTCCCGTGATCAAAATCCAGGTGTTCGACAACCAGCGTGTATTTACAATAGTTGCATCATCCTGGGGCTGATGAATCGGTACCCCCCCAAAAATCAGCACCCCACATTTGCAAGATTTCTCCCTGATAAAAAATGCATAATTGAGATTTTTAGCCAGGTGGAAATGGCATCACTTATCTTTGGCAAATTCGCTTTTTCTGCAAAATGCAGCCTCCAGAGAGATAGAAAGTTCAGGAATTGCACTGAAAAGCCACTTAGAAAAGTGCCTGGGGAATATATGGAACCCAGAATCCTTGTAGATTCTGGGTTCCACTTTCAGGTCGTCCAACAGCAACTCCACAGGTTGAGCGAGCTGAGGAAATCCAGTGCTGTTATATGTCTGCATGGACTCTTTCTCACTCATTTTACTCTGCTTATTGCATTTTTTTATGATGCATTTTTAATTTCCTGTTGCCTTGATTCCTTCCCTATCTGGCCAGCTTCTGAGTAAAATAAAATCACATAAATTCTAGGCTAAGTGGATCAATAGAGTTTATAAAGTAGCTTTTTTCATATATATATCTATATGCCTGGAAGATTATATCACCCCAGAAGAGTTATTGTTTAAGATGCTGGTTGCATTGGGACAGATTAAACCCGATTGTGTTTTTTTTTTGGGAAGGATTGGATTAAAAATATGCTTTCAAACTCCGGGCAGAGTTCTTCATTTCCAACAGTGCTCTAGTGCCATCTAGTGGCAGAGAGCAGCATTATAACACACCATTTGAAAATCCGTGTCTACCACTATACCCTCCTTCAACGGCTGAATTTTCCTTGAAATCTCAAACAACTGATAAACCTAAATTACTAATGACAGTGGGGCAGGTATGTGAGCTCTTCCTGGATTGTGGGAGATTCCTGCTTTCTATCTTGTGGTCTGAGCTTGGCACTGATTTCTCAACTTTAGCTGACTTTTAAGATGGGTGAACTTCAACTCCCACGGTTCCCCAGCCAGCATGGGGGAAATGGCTGGCTCGGGAATTCTGGGAGTTGAAGTCCACCCATCTCAAAACGTTGAAAAACCCAGGTCTACCGTTTCAGTTGGATGAAATGAGCTGTTATCTTAACCCACCTTACTGTAATGCAGGATTTGGAAAGACCAGAGGTGAGTAGTTCGAAGAACCAGTAAATGCCACCTCTGACTGGCCCCACCCCCATCTATTCTCTGCCTCCTGAGTCCCAGCTGATCGGGAGGGAATGGGGATTTTGCAGTAACCTTCCCCTGGAGTAGGGAGGGAATGGAGATTGTACAGTATCCTTCCCCTGCCATGCCCACCAAGCAGGGGTGAAATCCAGCAGGTTCTGGAAAACCGGTAGTGGAAATTTTGAGCAATTCAGAGAACCGGTAGCGGAAATTTTGAGTAGTTCAGAGAACCAGCAAATACCACCTCTGGCTGGCCCCAGAGTGGGGAGGGAATGGAGATTTTATAGTATCCTTCCCCTGCCATGCCCACCAAGCCACGCCCACAGAACCAGTAGTAAAAAAAATTGGATTTCACTACTGCCACCAAGCCACACCCACCAAACCACGCCCACCAAGCCATGTCAAACAGAACCGATAGTAAAAAATATTTTGGAACCCACCACTGGGGAAGACCTACTACAAGGTCCTATGCTTTTGAGCAAAGGTAAAGCAGTTATGTAGCTTTGCTTACAAGTCTACTTTTGTGTGTTTTTTTCCTTGCAGGGAACTTGTCACCAAGCTGCGGGCCCACAGTGGCTTCTACAGCAGCTTGCCAGAATATATCTGCAGCCACAGTTCCACAGTGCACAACAATACCTTCTGCTGGAACGGACACGAAGTGGTGGAAAGGTAATCTCTTCCATTCTCGTCTCCTTCCCCTTTCTTGAATTCCTACAGTTGGCCAAATTTTTGTTTTTCTTCTGTTCCACCAACCCTCTTTCAAGTGTGTTAAGCAGGATGTCTCAGAAATGGGCACAAGCCCACTGAATGCCCAGACTGGCCAATTGTCGATGGACATGGTAATGTTCTCAAGACAAAATGCTCAACTTTCTGCATCTTGGAGTCTTGGAGAAGACATTGGACAGATCTCTGGGGCTTCCAGGGAGAGCTAACAGGAGCTGGATTCGAATTTGAGGGTCCTTTTTACTCTCCCCAGATCTGTATGTTTTCTTCCCTACATCTGAGCTTCAGGGGAAGTTACTGTCTGTCTGGCATGCTGGCTGGGGAATTCTGTGAGTTGAAGTCCACATATGGAAACACAAGAAGGCATCAATTGAATCTCGATCAGGGCTATTAGATCTGGCCTGCCAACATCTGGATCACAATCAAGTGGCAGCAAATTGATAGAAAACATCCACCTCTGGAGAGGCTCACTGGATCGTTTATGCCTTAGGAAAATAAAAATTGTCAGGGGAACATTTAAGTTCTCAGAAGTTATTTTATATATATAAAAAATTAGGTATAAACAATCCAATCTTTGGGTGCTCGAGAAGCAAATTAATTAAAGTTACAATTAGCAAATTACCAAGTAGCTTTTTTTTAAACCTCTCTTCTTCCCTCTTGTCAGCCTGCCCAGGTCCGTGAGTTCTTGGAACTTCAGCAAAGTCTTTTAAGTGATGTTAGTTGCAAAAGAAAGAAAAATTGTATCCACTGTTTTTCCTCCACTTCTTGCTGCTGGGTTGTTGTTGTTGTTTTTGCAGCAAAGAAACAGTTTCAGAAGTGGGTTTCAGCAGGTTCTGACCAGTTCTGGAGAACCGGTAGCGGAAATTTTGAGTAGTTCGGAGAATCGGTAGTAAAAATTCTGACTGGCCCTGCCCACCATCTATTCTCTGCCTCCCGAGTCCCAGCTGATTGGGAGGAAATGGGGATTTTGCAGTAACCTTCCCCTGGAGTGGGGAGGGAATGGAGATTTTACAGTATCCTTCCCCTGCCACGCCCACCAAGCCACACCCACAGAACCGGTAGTAAAAAAATTTGAAACCCACCACTGAACAGTTTGCTCTTAACTTGTGGGTGTGCACAAGCGTGATGATTGTAGCAGGACATGAAAGTGTGCCATGCAACAGGGCAGCGATTCCAGCAGGTGGCACCAGGAGAACAGCTGCCTGGCCTCAAGACCTTGGCCGAGTTCAAAGCTTGCCCCCCTTCAGCCCCTCCTTGCCCCCCCTTCCAGGTTTCAGCAACACCTTTTCTAGATTCTTCAGACCTTTTCAAGCTTTCGCTGCGTTCCTTTTTTCCCCCATTTCCACTCCCTTTCCTGGATTCTCCTGCCCTGCCATCCAAGGTCTTCCTTCTCCAAGTGAGCATGGAGAATCTCATGCTCACTCTTGGTCCACCCACTGCTGGGCGAATTGGAGGAGCAAGGGAGGCTGTGGAGGATGGGTTATGAAGTCCAACACAGACTTGAGAAGACCCTCCGGGAGTCAGAATATTTTAAGCTCTGCCTGAGGGATACCAAACCTTCCTAGAGTCTTAAGAATTCAGAAAGGATCCAGCTTCAAACCCCGGGAAGGTCCGGGAAGGAATCCAGATTGAAGCTGGCAACCTGGCATTGCTTCGGCATCCACCTTGGACCCCTCCTGGCATCAGGTTCGGGAGACTGCAGAGTGAAACCCAGTGATTTCCTTTGTGCCCTGATCTTTGGGGTCTTCCCTCTGCAGATACACCCACCCACCCACGAGGAACGGAGGCCGATCTCAGTCGGGACAGCATGAAGCGAAGGCCAGGGGTCCTGAACCAGTCATTAGCCAGATCATTGACAAGCTGAAACATATAAACCAGGTGGGTGCTGCTGCCTTCTCTTGGGGGGGTTGGAGGCAGGACGTGGGGCAGGTGGTTGAGTTGGGGTTACCAAGGTCAGGGAGAAGGGGCTGGGCTGGGTTTGCACATGGGGCTAAGCAGTTATGGGGCGTGCCGTGTTGATTGCAAATTAACATGCAAACATGATATTGAGCTTGGAAACCACTAATCATAGTTTAGCATTCTGCAGGTTAGTTAGTTTTCCTTCCTTCCTTCCTTCCTTCCTTCCTTCCTTCCTTCCTTCCTTCCTTCCTTCCTTCCTTCCTTCCTTCCCCCACTCCCTCCCTTCTTTTCTCCTTTCCTCCCTCCCTCCCTTCTTCTTTCTCCCTTCCTTTCTCCCTTCCTTCCTTCCCCCTCCCTCCCTCTTTCTCCCTTCCTTTCTCCCTTTCTTCCTTCCCCTCTCCCTCCCTCCCTTCTTCTTTCTCCCTTCCTTTCTTCCTTCCTTCCTTCCCCTCTCCCTCCCTCCCTTCTTCTTTCTCCCTTCCTTCCTTCCTTCCTCCCTCCCTCCCTCTTTCTCCCTTCCTTTTTCCCTCCCTCCCTCCCTCCCTCCCTTCCTCCCTCTCTCCCTCCCTCCCTCTTTCGCTCTTCCTTTCTCCCTTCCTCCCTCCCTCCCTCCCTTCCTTTCTCCCTTCCTTCTCCCTCCCCCCCCATTAATTCATGAGGGGAGATCCCAGTGAAAAAGTTGAAGCTAAAATATGTGGGGAGTTGTAGAAGACTAGAAGAGATTGAAAGTCCTCTGGTTTGACCTGGAGCTCCGGGCTTTTTCTGCAAGACTAATGTCCAAATGATTTTATTTACGATTATGTCCAGCGTAAACTTCTACCTATTCAGGATTAAGCTCTGCCATTCCAGACCCACTTCATAATAAGGGGCCATGCATTTCTTTCCAAATTTAGAAACCCCCCCTCCCTAATTACCCGCCTTGGAGAAAGCCATTATAAGAACCCTGCAAAGCGATTTGGGGGGAGGGGCAAGGGGTTTATTCCATTTCTAAGCGTGAAGAGAGATAAATGGGGCTGGAGAGGGGGGAGGGGCAGGAGGGGGTTAAACGAGGGAGATCAAACACCCATCTCCCTAATTTGCAATTCATAAGTCATTTCCAGGGAGGGCTTTGCAGAAAAGATGGAATTGGGAGGAGGGGGCTGGTTGAGCTGGTTGGAAGGGAAATGCTTTCCCCCCAACCCCAGAGGTTACACAGAAATTAAACTTGGGAAATATTTCAAGCCCTCCATAGCCTCACAGATCTTCGAGGGGTCAGCCAAATCCACCTATGTCTTTATTTGCAACACGGGTCCTTCCCTTTTCTGGGCCAGCAAAGCTGGCTGAGGAATTCTGGGAATTGAAGTCTACAGGTCTGAAAGTTGCCAAGGTTAAAGACCCCTGGTCTAGTCAACCTTGTGCCTCTTGAAAGGTCACAAAGCTTTGTATTGTTTTAAGGAGGAATAAGAGAGGCTATAGGGATGCGGTGGCTCAGTGGCTAAGACGCTGAGCTTGTCGATCGAAAGGGCGGCAGTTCAGCAGTTCGAATCCCTAGTGCCGCGTAACGGGGTGAGCTCCCGTTACTTGTCCCAGCTTCTAGCAGTTTGAAAGCAGGTAAAAAATGCAAGTAGAAAAATAGGGACCACCTTTACAGAGTCAGGTAGTGCATTCCAGGCATTGACCACTTTGCTGCTGAAGTCGTATTTTCTGCAGTCGAGTTTGGAGCGGTTTACCTTGAGTTTGTATCTTATTATTTGCTTGTGTATTGTTGTGGTTGAAGCTGAAGTAGTCGTTGACAGGTAAGGACATTGTGGCAGATAATTTTATGTACAACACGTAGGTCAGACAGAAGTCGGTGTAATTCTAAGTTGTCTAAGCCCAAAATTTGAAATCTGGTGGAATAAGGTATTTTCTTGCGGTTAGAGGAATGGAGGACTCTTCTCGTAAAATATCTCTGGACTCTCTCAATTGTATTAATGTCTGATATGCAATGCGGGTTCCAGACAAATGATCTGTATTCGAGAATTGGTCTAGCAAAGGTTTTGTATTCTCTAGTTAGTAGTTTAATATTACCAGAGAAGAAGCTATGCAAGATTAGGTTAACAACTCTTAATGCCTTTTTGGCAATGCTGTTACAGTGAGCTCTGGTGCTTCGATCGTTTGAGATAAGTACTCCAAGATCCTTGACAGAGTGAGGGTCGTCTACAAGGTCGTGTCCATCTAATTTGTATTTTATGTTTTGATTTTGTTTTTTTGCCAATGTGCAATTCTTTGCCAGGGTTTGAGATAGAAAAGTTATCTTGGGCTCTGCTGGAGAGGTGGTTGCCTCTGTTGTCATCCTCCCCTCCAAGCCCTCTTTTCCCCAGCTGTCCAGCAGGCTGGTGTTTCCTTCGACACCTTGGCATCCCCTCTTGGATTTCAAAGGGAGCAGACCACTCTCTGAGGAGCCCACCACATGTGAGGGCATTTATCAACTTAACAGGAGTGTGTCAAAAGTAAACAAGAAAAAAGGAAGCTGGCTCTGGGCGTCTTGCAACACACCGCAGCAATTAACCAAATTTGTTTATCAAGCCATCCATTCATCCATCCATCCATCCATCCATCCATCCATCCATCCATCCATCCGTCAGCTCACAGACTGAGGGTTAACATAGACCGACTTCTACATCACCGCCCTGTGTCAGGGCTTATGCAAAAGAGTGCATGCCAATATCATGACTGGGGCACATCATGGTTTAGGCAGGGCTTTAAGGGTTGTGGGAACTCAGCAATTATGGTTTATCTGCTCCGTTGTGGTTCTAAATGCAACATGATGCGCAAACTGATCCAGCACACAACCAGCAGAGCCTTCCCCCATGTATGATTGTGTGGTTCCTTTCAGAAGAGTAAAAAAAAAAAATCGCAATTCCCATGATTGCTTCCCAACTTGGGAACTGTGGAAGAGGGACAGTTACACTTCAGAAGGTTGGAGACATCCAGTTTAGCAAGAAGATGCTAGCCAGAGAAACAACCCTGACCCAGTGGTAGATTTCAAATTTTTTTACCACTGGTTCTATGGGCATTGTGTGGCTTGGTGGGCGTGGCTTGGTGGGCGTGGCAAGGGAAGGATAATGCAAAATCCCCATTCCCTCCTCACTCCAGGGGAAGGATACTGCAAAATCCCCATTTCCTCCCGATCAACTGGGACTCGGGAGGCAGAGAATAGATGGGGGGCAGGGCAGAGGTGGGTTTCAGCAGGTTCTGACCAGTTCTGGAGAACCGGTAGGGGAAATTTTGAGTAGTTCGGAGAACCGGTAGTAAAAATTCTGACTGGCCCCGCCCCCCATCTATTCTCTGCCTCCCGAGTCTCGGCTGATTGGGATACTGATTTGCAGTATCCTTCCCCTGGAGTGGGATGGGAATGGAGATTTTACAATATCCTTCCCCTGCCAGACCCACCAAGCCACCCCCACAGAACCGGTAGTAAAAAAATGTTGAAACCCACCACTGGGGCGGGGCCAGTCAGAGGTGGTATTTACCGGTTCTCCGAACTACTCAAAACTTCCGCTACCGGTTCTCCAGAACTGGTCAGAACCTGCTGAATAGCACCCCTGCCCTGCCCTGTTGTTTTTCCCCCTGAGATGAAGGAGATCATGAGAAGGACAAGCAAATGAATGGAAGAGGAGAGCAAACTCCCATCTTCTTCTCTGGCTTGTTTTCTTCTACGTCTCGACCCACCCATCCATCCCCTCGCTTCTCATTCCCCCCTTCAGTTCTGGGTGTTGTTTTAGCTGCAAAGCCCTTATCAACTTTCTCAACCTCTAAGCTTGATTGATAGTTCCAAAGTTCTGGAAAAGTATGCCAAATATCTTCAGTGCAGCCCTTGGAATGTCTCCTTTTATTAAATGCCTTTTCGGTCATGCAGACTCAATTAAAGGAGACGTTCCATGCCTCGAGAAGAATAGAAATACTAATTCAGAGCTATCTAGCTATCTCTGCCTTTCCTCTGACCAATTTCAAACCAAGTCCCCTCTTTTAAGAAGAGGCTCCGGCGTCCTTTTGAAATTCTCCTTCATCACTCAACCATTGAAGTCTCCATCGGCTGGTTTTGTTGTATGTTTAATGTTTGGGCGAGTAGGAGGGTGCCCCTTAGAGTTTATTGAAATGGCACAGTTGCTTTTATTATTCATCAGTGGCTCTCTGCTGATATATATATATATATATATATATATATATATATATATATATATATATATATATATATATATATATATATATATATATATATATATATATATATATGTATATATATGTATATATATATATATATATATATGTAGTGTGTGTGTGTGTGTGTGTGTGTGTGTGTCTGTCCGTCTTTGGTTATTCGGGTTTTCTCCCGCGTAAAATTGGAGGTTTCTTGGCAACGTTTCGACGAAGTCTCATTCGTCATCTTCAGGCTGGTGTTCTCGGCTTCGTGCTTCTAGGAGCAATGTGTGTGATCGCAGAAGCACGAAGCCGAGAACACCAGCCTGAAGATGACGAATGAGACTTCGTCGAAACGTTGCCAAGAAACCTCCAATTTTACGCGGGGAGAAAACCCGAATAACCAAAGACAGACATACAAACACCTGCGAAAACCTCAGAAAACTTATTTATTTATTTATTTATTTTTATTTATTTATTTATTTATTTATTTATTTATTATTTATTTATTTATTTATTTATTATTTATTTAATGGAATGGATGACCTCCACTGGGGGAGATTGCTTTTAATATGAAGCTGGCTTCACACTTCACACGAGCTGGAATTCTACTGGCTTGAGGTTTTTTTGGTGGCTTGCAAAGCACGGTGCTTGGATTTGCAACAAAGGTGAACCAGGGCATGTAAACAAGTTAAAAAGTAAAAAGTAAGTATAGCAAGGGACGTGGTGGCTCAGTGACTAAGACGCTGAGCTTGTCGATCGAAAGGGCGGCAATTCGGTGGTTCGAATCCCTAGTGCTGTGAAACGGGGTGAGCTTCCGTGACTTGTCCCAGCTTCTGCCAACCTAGCAGTTCAAAAGCACGTAAAAAATAGTAGTAGAAAAATAGTGGTGGGAGGGAACAGCGTTCCGTGCGCCTTTGGCGTTGAGTCATGCCGGCCACATGACCACAGAGACATCTTCGGACAGCGCTGGCTCTTCAGCTTTGAAACGGAGATGAGCACCGCCCCCTAGAGTGGGAACGACTGGCACATAGGTGCGAGGGGAACCTTTACCTTATAGCAAGACCCTGTGTGTGGACCTTGTCAACGGTGGTCTGTAAGCCATGATTTTGGCTTAATGTGATTGTGCCTGAGCTCAGCAACATGTTTCATCCCACAAACCCTGGTTCAACAAGCTATAGTTTGACAGTGTTAAGTGTAGTGTGTCAGACATTTTCTGGCCAATTTCTGCCACCCACGATGCCCTACGCTCTGAGGCAGATGCCATGTGATAAACATCACAAAACTGGCATCCCTCAGCTCACCCGTCATCTCAGGTAGGTAGGCCAAACACTTACTAGGTGCTTGACAGTTGCCATGTCTTGAAGTGGATTGGGGAGTCCTCACTTCAACCTGATAGGAGGTCTACCACGTTGATGTGGAGAAGGCTGTGTGTGTTCTGTTTGATGACACACACACAGGTCCTGCCCGGACTTGGCTGACTTGCTTCTGAGTTGTGTTGTCTGCCTCTCTGTCCACCGTTTTGGTTTGGCAACGCTTGGAGGCTAGCTTTGCCACTTAAACTCTTGCAGCTGCGTAAATGGTCATTAGGCTGAAACCTGCTTATCGTGCCCTTCTGCATGCTGATTATGGCCTTTTCCGGGTTCCCGCCTCGTCCCGCAGAAGGACGCCGAATCAAAGCAGCAGCTCCCCCTGGTCGCAGTTATTTAAAATCAGAGAAATTGTCAGAGGTAGGTCTGTGTGGGAAGAGAGGAAACCACAGGGTTGTTTCAAAGGAGCTGGGTGTTGCTTCTGGGTCCAGCTCTTGTCTACGTGAAAACAACCAGATTGGCCTAGTGCAGGGGTGAAATGCTACCAGTTCAGCCCGGTTCGGCTGAATCGGTAGCGGCGACGGCAGGTGGTTCGGAGAACCGGTAGTGGCAGCAGCGCGAGCCTCCTCCCACCCACCTGGTCATTGTTACTTCCTGGTTTTAACCTTTTTTTTTAACCCTCTGCGTCCAAGCACGCACTTCCTAACCTGTAGGGAAGTAGGTTTCACCCCTGGCCTAGTGGTTAACGCATCAAGCCAGAAAGCGGGAGGCGGTGAGTTCTAGTTCTGCCTTATGTCTAGTCTGATGAAAAGAAGGACCAGGGGAGACACGATAGCACTCTTCCAATATCTCAGGGGCTGCCCCAAAGAAGAGGGAGTCAAGCTATTCTCCAAAGCACCTGAGGGCAGGACAAGAAGCAATGGGTGGAAACTCATCAAGGAGAGAAGCAACTTAGAACTAAGGAGAAATTTCCTAACAATGAGAACAATTCATCAGTGGAACAACTTGCCTCCAGAAGTTGTAAATGCCCAACGCTGGAAGGTTTTAAGAAGAGGTTGGACAGCCATTTGCCTGAAGTGGTGTAGGGTTTCCTGCCTAGGCAGGGGGTTGGACTAGAAGACCTCCAAGGTCCCTTCCAACTCTGTTATTCTATTCTATTCTATTCCTATTCTATTCTATTCTATTCTATTCTATTCTATTCTATTCTATTCTATTCTATTCTATTCTATTCTATTCTATTCTATTCTATTCTATTCTATTCTTATGAAAGCCAGATGGGTGACTTTGTTGTTATGGGGATAATAGGAGGAGGAAGTTGCGTGGGATATGTTCACTACTTTGAGTTAAAATAATAAAGGCGGGGTATTAAAAAAGAAAGAAAAAAAATAAAATTGGAAACTCCTTGTTATCTCCCCTGATGCTCTGGGACCCTTTCTGAGAAAAATAAACCCAGAAGCGTCCTGGATCTCACACCTGTGACTGGCTCAAAACAGAGAAGTGGTTTTTCTGTCCTTCTCTGAAGCCATTCCCTCTTGACGTGTCTCCTTCCAGCTGCTCAAAGGGACATCTGCCTCTCGCCGGAAAAATCTGGACCGTCTTGAAGATGAGGAGGGGGCCGAAAGTGGGGATTGCGATGATGAAGATGCCTGCAATGAAGCTGCGGCTTCTGGAGACGGCGAATTGAAAGTGAAGAACCAATTAAGGTTTTTGGCAGGTAAATGGGGAATTGGGCCTGTGCTTTGACAGTCGAGATCGTATGGCAGGGAGTCCTCAATTTACGACCGTAGTTGGGGACTGGAATCTCGGTCATAAGTCCTTGGCATTTGTAAGTTGAAGCGCTGCATGACTGGACTTGATTTATGGCCGTTTTTACGAGGGTCGTGAAGCAAGCCACCCATAGTCGCTAAGAGAAACGTGCAGTCGTAAGTGTGACGTCAAACCCGGAGAGTCTGTCCGCGGCCGCCATTGCGAAGAGGGTGGAAGGAGCATGTGGGCGGCAGGCACAGATCAGGGAAGGGATAGAATCCAAGCATTGAAGCTACGGATTTGAGTTTCTGCTCTTTCTACCATATCTGACATGTTTGGAGCTTCTCTGGTGGCAGGAATGGTGATTTTTAAAAACAAACAAACAAACCAGATATCCCTCTTAGTGGCCTATTTTGGGGGAAGTGTTGGGAAAACACAACTATTTACCATATCCTAATAAAAAAATATAGCAAGAATTTCCAAGAAACTAGAGCCTTTCCTTTCCTTTCCTTTCCTTTCCTTTCCTTTCCTTTCCTTTCCTTTCCTTTCCTTCCCTTTCCTTTCCTTTCCTTTCTTTCCTACCTTCCTACCTTCCCTTCCCTTCCCTTCCCCTTCTCCTTCTCCTTCCTTCTTTCTTCCCTTTCTTTCTTTCTTTCTTTCTTTCTTTCTTTCTTTCTTTCTTTCTTTCTTTCTTTCCCTTCCTCCTTCCTTCCTTCCTTCCTTCCTTCCTTCCTTCCTTCCTTCCTTCCTTCCTTCCTTCCTTCCTTCCCCTGGCTGACCTCACACACGGTGAATGTTGGACTATTGCACCTTCTCTTCAGGTACCAAAGCTCCAGTTTCCCATTTTTTTCCCACGACCGAAAGCACCTGAGAGCCTGGAAAGAATCGGTCCTGGGAGCTTTCAAGTTGAAAGAGGAGAAATATAGAAATGTTTCCAATGAGTCCAGATGAGCTGCTCCATGAATCTCTTCTCTCTCCTCCCCTTGAGTGCCACAATTACCTGGCACTTCAGGGGAGTGAAAGCTGAGAGGGTGCTGCCTGTCAGTGGACTCTTTGTGTGTGTGTGTGTGTGTGTTGTGTGTGTGTGTATGAGTGTGCATACACATGCAGGCCTGCACCTCCTTATTCCATAAGTCAAAGCCTCTGAGGATGAAGGACCTGGGGAAGCCAGAGCTGGTGTTACCTTATCCAGGTTGGAAGGAGGAGACCCCACTGGGTTTCCTAAGGAGAGTTTTCATCCAGCCTCCTGAAGACCGAACCGTGATTCGATCTCACGACATTTTCTTTCTTAATGAGCTGCAGCTGTGGGAAGAAGAGCCGGCCAGCTGGGGTTGAGCCCCCTTTTTCAATTCACTTGGATTTCTCAAGCAAAAAGCTTCCCATCGTTTTTCTCTCCCCCACTTTCCCCCACCCCCGGGATGATGAAATAGGAAGAGGAGGGAAATTGTAGGCTCTTTGGGATCACACGGTCGAGAATTTTGGAAATCATCTTCCATCTCGGCTGCTCTGCTCCAAATTAGCAGCCTACCCTACCTGCAGTTCATTAGGGGGGGGGTAGGGGAGGGGGTTGCTGCTGGACCTGGGTGTGGGTTTTGCAGGCGGGCAGAACAACCGTTGCGGTGGCTCCCCGGAGAACGTGGTTCGTTGGAGAACGTGGTTGGTGGGGAGAGCTTGGAGGCACAAGCCTGTCCACATTATTCTGGGGGTTGTGTAAGGAATCGACGGAATGGATACAGAGGGTCCCCACCCCACCCCCGCTGGTTAGTCGAGGGAGAATTTAGAAAGTTATGCATGTGAATTTCCATGCTTTTTTTCAGCTCCCTTGGATGGTTGGGACATTCAAGGAAGGAAGGAAAGGAAGGAAGGAAGGAAGGAAGGAAGGAAGGAAGGAAGGAAGGAAGGGAGGGAGGGAGTTGAGGGAGGGAGGGAGGGAGGGAGTGGAGGGAGGGAGGGAGGGAGGGTGAATGAGAGAAAGGAAGGATTCTAGTCCTCATTGTTCTAAGCAAAAGGGCTGATGCGGGAGAGAGAGAGAAAGAGAGAAGACAAAAGAAGAGAAGAGAAAACAAGGAGTTAAGCCATGTTCTCAGCACACTTCAGGATCCTGGGGTTTTTTTTTTTTATCATCTTTGCCTTTCAAGCTACCAATTTATCTATTGCAAATTTCAGGGCAGTCGACAACAAAACAAACACGCAACACCAATTAAAAATTGATTTACAGCACACTTAAAAGGGTGGGTAGGCAGACCCAGAAGATGAGACCAGAAGTAAGACGTTCTTGGGGGCTAATTAGTAGCTGAAGAAATCTGGCTGAGCCTCCTTGGCCAGGGAGTTCTACCCCGGAAGTGTCCTGGCCCCAGGTGCCTTTTCTCCAGCCGTCCCCTGGCATCCATGGGTGGGGATGGGGGGAGAAACAGCCGCTCGGCTACTGAGGCAGGAGAGGGGCTTCTGTTGGGCCGCGGGGACCAAACTGTGGAACGGATGGTCCTTAATAGAGAACAGTCATAAAACTGATGCTTCTTGCAATGACCAAAATGAATATATTTGCAGGCCCTGTTGGTGCCTTTGTCGTGGGAAGGGAATACGGGAAGGAACAAAGCCGGAAATCCTGAATTAACTCAATGACTGGAGCATTGTTTCCGTCCCAGCTTACAAGTGAGCAGATTTCCAGGCAGACTTTTTAGCCTGTCGGAAAGGGTTGTGTTTATAGGAAACACAGTTCCAGGGTGGCTCTTCAGTAGGAGTTGGCTTGTGTCGCTCATCCCCGATTGTGTGAATTAGGTCCCATGCCAGATCTGGAGGGCTGTGTCGGGCCTGCTTACAATCTGGATATTCGTCCTGTTTTGGTCTGGAGACACACCAGTGGTGTCAAAAGGCAGGCAGGCGGTTTGTGGTGGGAAGGGGGGAAGGAGGAGGAGGAGGAGGAGGAGAGGGAGGGGGAAGAAAAAAAGGAAGGAGAGGAAGAGGAGAGGAGAAGGAAGAAGAGGAGAGGAGGAAGAGGAGGGGAAGAAGAGGTGGAGGAGACAAGGAGGAGGAGGAAGAGGGGAAGGAAGGAGAAGGAAGAAGAGGTCAAGGAGAAGAGCAGGAGGCGGAAGAGGAGAAGGAAAGAGGAAAAGGAGGGGAGGAAGAGGAGAAGAAAGAAGAGGTGGAGAAGGAGAAGGAGAAGAGAAGGAGGAGAGGGCAGGAGAGGGCATGACAAACGTGTCTGGTGACAGTGGTGGGTTGCTCCCGGTTCTGTCCGGTTCGATAGAACCGGTAGTAAAATCAGCGGGCAGCTCCGCCCACCCTCCCCGACATCATAAATGACGATCTGCGCATGCGCAAAAGAGCGCGCGAGCGAAGTGTGGAGCACCTTCAGACTGGGAACTGGTCCTGCAGAAGATCAGGCTGCGCATAGGGATGTCTCTGGAAGCAATGCTTTACGCTGGGGTCTCGCTGGAGATGGTTCCCTTCCTCCCCCCCCCCCCCGCTTTCCTTATTTTTAAAGGTTTTCAGGATCGAAAAACGTCGACTTCTGCTCCGTGGTCCGTCTGCATAGGATTCCCCTTGGGTGGGAGGGAACAGCCTCTCCTCTCCCTTTCCTCTTCTCGATCTTCCCTGCCAGCAACTCTTGTTCCCACAGCTGTAATTTCACTCTTGTCAAACGAAAAGCATCCATCCAAAAAACTTCTCTACTTGGCTGGGTTCTGCTTCCTGCTTTGAGGTCCCCAAACCAGAAGTCCCCAAACCTGGGACTCTCCCGAGGGAAGCTGCCGTTTTGCCCTCTCTGACGGCCACTCCGTGCTGACCAGGTGGGGCCAGAGCCTCCCCCACCGCGGCAGGGTTCAAGGGCATTTTCTGCTCCCAGGGCTCATAAGCGGGCACCTTAATTTCCACCCTTCGGTTAAAAGGAACAAAAAGGAGACAGAAGGAAGAGAAGAGTTGCAATGTTCTGAGAGCCATCACCGGATCGCATGTGTGGTGTTTGGCAACCAGCTGTTTACAGCTGTTTTTGCAGCCTCTTCAGGTCACGTGACCACGGTACCCGATGCTGTGGAGCAAAAAACGCCGTTTATTTCTGGTTTTCAGCAAAAGAAAAAAAAATCCATTGGGTGTTTGCTTAACGGGTGCCACCAAAGTAAAATAACTGGGCACGTGGTGACCTGCTTAACAACTGGCATGACTTACTGCAGGGGTCTCCAAACTTGGCAACTTTAAGACTTGTGGACTTCAACTCCCAGAATTCCTCAGCCAGCCAGCTGTTCAGCGGTTCGAATTCCTACTGCCGCGTAATGAGGTGAGCTTCCGTCCCTTGTCCCAGCTTCTGCCAACCTAGCAGTTCGAAAGCAGGTAAAAAATGCAAGTAGAAAAATAGGGACCACCTTTGGTGGGAAGGGAACAGCGTTCCGTGCGCCTTTGGCGTTGAGTCATGCTGGCCACATGACCACGGACAGCGCTGGCTCTTCGGCTTAGAAACGGAGATGAGCACCGCCCTCTAGAGGCGGGAACGACTAGCACATATGTGCGACGGGAACCTTTACCTTTAAGATTAGTTTTCCTTTTAAGGCGCCTAAATCAATATCAGCCACGCATATTTTCCTGGGTCTGCGTGGCTCCCGGTGAAAAGCCGCTGCTTATTTAAGGAGACGTTAACCGAATGCACACTCGGGCGTCCCTTTAAAGCAACTTTTTTGCTTTGAACCCAAAGCACAGCACATCCTGGTCCGCACTATGTTTGTTGGGCTCCTCCTAGCGTTTTGAATCACAGGCAAGTTGAAGTAGCTGGCTGTTTTACAAGATGTTAATTCTACGCCTAACACGGGAGAGAAGCTGAATGCAAACGCCAAATGGATCGGTTTCCCCTGAGAACCTTTTCGTTCCAGACGTGTTTATACATTTGCTGAAATGTTTGTTATCTCCCACTGGCGTGTTTTTTTAAAGGAAGAGGACCTCGCTAGGAAATTGAGATTTCTCCGTCCACTTGTAAAATGT